GGGCTGGTTGTTCAATGACGGTTATTTGTTATCGTTGATGGCAGTTTCTTCAAGGCTTTTGGTTTCATTTTTGTTTTAATATAAATATTTTCATAGGAACATATGTGTCAGTATCTTTTTGAAGAGGAAAAGTTGTTTTCTTTACTTTTCTTTCTTGAGAAAATCAATTGCAATATTTTTATCACCATCATAAATCCAAAAGCTTTTATACATTGAATTGTAATCATCCTACTTGTGATTGCAATTGTTCTTCGTTGTATCTCCTAAGTAAATTTCCGTGAAACCCGGTTGTAGTATAGGGTCGGAATTATACTTTTGGGAAAGTGATCCCGTTCACGCCTCGAAGATTTTACCAGTTTATTTTATTTGCTTTCTTTGTGACCCTTGTTAACCACAAAATCCCCAACAATCCAAAAGTATAATTTCTACAAAGATGGCAAATGTGAAGGGTATGATGACGAATTTCCAGAAATTGAACAAGTTCGAGGGTGAAGATCTTGGTATGGAGATGGAAACGAAGATGGTGATATTTCTTGTGGGATTACAAGAAAAAATGTTTGATGGAAGGTTTTCTCTAGTCAGTTATATGATTAAAGTCACTCCATTCAAGTAAGAGGTTTCTTATTTGTGATTAATATATATTTATATGTTTGATTATTTATCTCTATGGTTAATTCTTGACATGTTTAATTAATCTAAGTTTATTGATTATGTCTTGATTATTATTAGAGATATGTTGTCTTGTAATTATGCCATTAAAGATGATTGGTAAAAATCATGATGGTTGGTTAAAACCATGTAATTTAACATTGTTAATGGATGAACTAAGTATTATTATCGTTCATGAAATGGGTGTGAATTACGGTTTGTTTTTACATTGGTATTAAGATACTTTGGGTATTGTTAATATATTTACTATATAGACGGTTAATGCTTGTTGTGTATGGACGGTTTAATAGCCATGATTATTTTTTATACAAAGTATGTATTATTTTATCTTGTTACATGGGTTATCAGTTGATGGTTTGTACTTTGTATGACATAAGTGATGTCATTTCATGTATGACAGTTCTTTATAGCGGTTACTCATGTTATCATGTATGATGAATAATGTATGGTCTTATAATGTGTTACTCCATGGTACTTATTCATGAAAGGTTGAATGACCTTGTTTTCGATTTTGTGATTGTTAGTTTACATGCATGAATTAAACCAAGTAGTCTTTAATCATTGACAAAGATATATGTGCATGTATGCTGGCAGTTGTAATATGTCACTTGGTGATGTGATGGTATTGTATATCATGGCAAGTATATTCTTGTGATTAACATGTTATAGTTATTAGGTTTTAATGCCTTGTTGTATTGTTATAAAAGTTAGTGACATATGTTAAATTGATGATTAATTTGATTCAAGTTATTATTCTATGGTATAATAGAATAATAAAACTGCAATGATAAATTATATTGTATTTATAGTGAATTAATCACGAATTTATAATTCCTTGGTTCACTACTAGAAAACACCTTAATTGCGACGGAAAAAGTTCGTCGTAAACTATGTAAATTCCTTCGTAAAGTTGGTTTACGACGGAATTCCGTCGTAGATGGTTGTCGGAAAACCCTTTGTAGGAAAATGGCCATTTTACGACGGAAATTCCGTCGTAAACCAAATTTACGACGGAATTTACGACGGAAATAATATCGTCGGACTTGGAATTGGCCTTTGATGAAGTTCCGTCGCAAATATACATTACGACGGAATTTTCCCTCGCAAAATATAATTTGCGACGGAATTTTCCCTCGCAAAATATAATTTGCGACGGAATTTTCCCTCGCAAAATATGATTTGCGACGGAATTTTCCGTCGCAAAATATATTTTGCGAGGGAAAATTCCGTCGCAATGTATATTTGTACGATGGAAAATTCCGTCGTAAATCATATTTTGCGAGGGAAAATTCCGTCGCAAATTATATTTTGCGAGGGAAAATTTCCTCGCAAATATGTAAATTACAACGAAATGTTCCGTTGCAAATTGTATTTCCAGCCCAAAACAAATTTTTGTAATTTTCTGCATTTTCAAACCTGAATTTTTTTAATGATAAATCGACAAAAAAAATAAATATTGAGTCCTAAAATTGTTGTTTTTAAAAAATTAATTACCGACCTATGAAATTAGGGTTATGTACATATATATATAATAATTATGTCCTAGTACAAAAGATAGTCCACATTTTGGTATCTATACCAAACAAATGCTAGGTTAGAGTGATTCTATGCTAGACTAAAGCTAAGCTACGCAATCGCCTGGAAACCCTGGCCTGCTCCACCACCACCCGGGTCGTTCCTAGGGTCTCGATGCTGAGGATGAATGGTGGAACATGAGTCGTTGTTGTTGAGACGACTCATCATCTCATCGAAACTCTCCTTGTATCTCCTCTCCATTTCAGCCATTCGGGCTTCCATTTGAGTTTGGAGAGTTTGCACCCTGTGTTCCATCTGGTCTTGCATTTGAGAAATGACAGACGGCGTGTATTGCTGTGAAGAACGGGAACCTCGACCCTGTTTGCCATAGTAGAGCTCTGCACTTTGGCCAAGTCCCTTCACACGCCCCTTCTTATTGCGCCCACCCACCGACTCCCAGTACAACTCATTGGGACTCTTCTGAATCCCCTGACTCATTGTTTCTTCGAGCTTCTTCTGGTAGGTGTCCTACAAAATATTGAAGATAAAATAAAATACTGTTAAAAAAACAACCAACAATATGGAGTTATATCGCATACTTTTAGGTTCCTAAGGATAGAAATTAAGAAAATTAAGCACATAAGTCAATTTTCAACCTTCACTCATCCAAAATCATCCAAAATTGGGCTATATCGCTAAAACCATGCCTATTTTCTAAGTTTTCAAGCAAATGGACTCGTTCTTTCTTCTAAAATTCCAATATCAATTGCTTTTAAGTGCATAGGATAGAAATTAAAAGAAATAAGCACATATGTCAATTTTCAACCCTTACTCATCTAAAATCATCCAAATTTGGCCTATATGGCTAAAACCATGCTTATTTTCTAAGTTTTCAAGCAAATGTAAGGTTTCTTTCTTCTAACATTCCAATATCAATTTCTTTTAAGTGCCTGAGGATAGAAATTAAGAGAAATAAGCACATATGTCAATTTTCAACCCTCACTCCTCCAAAATCATCCAAATTTGGCCTATATGGCTAAAACCATGTCTATTTTCTAAGTTTTCAAGCAAATGGACTCGTTCTTTCTTATAACATTCCAATATCAATTTCTTTTAAGTGCCTAAGGATAGAAATTAAGAGAAATAAGCACATATGTCAATTTTCAACCCTCATTCCTCCAAAATCATCCAAATTTGGCCTATAAGGCTAAAACCATGCCTATTTTCTAAGTTTTCAAGCAAATGTAAGGTTTGTTTCTTATAACATTCTAATATCAATTTCTTTTAAGTGCCTAAGGATAGAAATTAAGAGAAATAAGCACATAAGTCAATTTTCAACCCTCACTCATCCAAAATCATCCAAATTTAGCCTATATGGCTAAAACCATGCCTATTTTCTATGTTTTCAAGCAAATGGACTCGTTCTTTCTTATAAAATTCCAATATCACATACTTTTAAGTGCCTAAGGATAGAAATTAAGAGAAATAAGCACAAATGTCAATTTTCAACCCTAACTCATCGAAAATTATCAAAATTTGGCCTATATGGCTAAAACCATGCCTATTTTCTAAGTTTTCAAGCAAATGGACTCGTTCTTTCTTATAACATTCCAATATCACATATTTTTAAGTGCCTAAGGATATAAATTAAGAGAAATAATCACAAATGTCAATTTTCAACCCTAACTCATCGAAAATTATCAAAATTTGGCCTATATGGTTAAAACCATGCCTATTTTCTAAGTTTTCAAGCAAATGGACTCGTTCTTTCTTATAACATTCCAATATCACATATTTTTAAGTGCCTAAGGATATAAATTACGAGAAATAATCACAAATGTCAATTTTCAACCCTAACTCATCGAAAATTATCAAAATTTGGCCTATATGGCTAAAACCATGCCTATTTTCTAAGTTTTCAAGCAAATGGACTCGTTCTTTCTTATAACATTCCAATATCACATAATTTTAAGTTCATAAGGATAGAAATTAAGATAAATAAGCACATATGTCAATTTTCAACCCTAACTCATCGAAAATTATCAAAATTTGGCCTATATGGCTAAAACCATGCCTATTTTCTAAGTTTTCTAGCAAATGGACTCGTTCTTTCTTATAACATTCCAATATCACATAATTTTAAGTGCCTAAGGATAGAAATTAAGAGAATTAAGCACATATGTCAATTTTCAACCCTAACTCATCGAAAATTATCAAAATTTGGCCTATATGGCTAAAACCATGCCTATTTTCTAAGTTTTCAAGCAAATGTTCTCGTTCTTTCTTATAGCATTCCAATATCACATACTTTTAAGTGCCTAAGGATAGAAATTAAGAGAAATAAGCACATATGTCAATGTTCGACCCTAACTCATCCAAATTCATCCAAAATAAGCATATATTGAGTTCTACTTTGCTAATTTGCCATATTTAAACTCATATAATAAGTGTTTACCGCAATCCTTTTTGCTTTGTTGTTGGCAGCCACTTGGCCTTTACCAGGCACTTCCTTGAAGTGTGTCTTCAAGAAAAGATCATGGGCATTTGGTAATTGGCCTTGGTTTTTTGCAGCCTTTATATGTACGTGCAGAAAATCAATGAAAACATGTTAGCCCACCAAAATTCATTAATAGACAAATGACATAATTGTTACTGGACATATTGTAGTAACCTTACCATCTTTTTAGCATGTTGTACAGATGACATTGAACCTTGAAAGTGGGTCGGTTCAACGACATTTTCCATGGATCCGCCTCTTCAGTTCTTCTTGTTTTGTTCCGACCGCTTCTGATATTTTGGATCGGTGGAAACAATTTTCATCATGCCTTCGTGGACATCCTTATTAAGCCATCTTGGTTTGCGACCATTCAGCCCGTGTGTGATGTTGTAGAACGTGTCACGTAGGCGATTTGCAAACTTTTCTTCGAAAGTGTCCTTCACTTGGTTGTTTAACTCAGGTGCCCACTTGAATTTTTTCTGCAAATCAAGAAAATGTCTTTATTACAAAATTCAACTCCATCAATATAATTTATAAAACATGTATTATGTTAGGTTAAAGTTATCATAAGTTGAACAAGTTCCAAAATTGCTCTCTCGAATCTTCATCAACCTCTCCATAATTCCTCCAAGGCTGAACATAGTAGCCAGTTAGCGAGTCGGAGAGCACATTCTTCACCGGCCTATCATCAAACCTATAATAAAGGATAGACATTCATGTAAGTAGATAATCAACAAAAAGTGAATAAAACATGGTTAAAGTAATACAAATTCACTTTATCAAAGTAAATACGAATTTAAGGATATTTCATTATACAAATACATACGCACCAAAGTGTGGAAGGGTCCAACTCTAGCAAGTCATTAGGATGCGGGTCCTGTAGCTCCTGTTCCTGAAGCTGCTGTTGCTCCTGTTGCCCTTGTACATTTCTGACGATTTCTTGAGAGGCCCCCAAATCATGTGCCTCCGCTTCCTCCATTGACTCATCCTCGTCAACACGTACAACCGGAGATTTCCCCTTAGACTTTCTCCTCTTGGACGTTTCTCCTTTATTTCCTCCTCCCATGATGACCACCTGAAAAAGTTATTAGTACCATAATCGCACATTGTAAATTCATAAATTAGATCCATAAGACATTAAAATAATAAAATGAGACCAAAAATGTAATGCAATATTACAAATCCGAGTAGTCATTAAAAACTAAACATTCGAAGACAATAGTAAAAGGAGTAACTACATATTCTCCTCTTCATTACTCTTATCACTACTACCACTATCATTATCACTATCATTATTACTATCACTAGTGTCATCTAAAAATACGTCGATGTCCTCTTCTTCGTCACTGTCACTGGAGCCAATGCTTTCTTCTTCATCTTCATCGCTTGAGATAATAAAGCCATCGTCATCATCATCATCACTATCAAGTTCATAGTCTAGAATGTCATTTGGTGGACAAAGCGTTGCATGTACTTGTGGGGAAGGACCCTGCAAAAACTCTAAATCCACTGGAGCATCAATCACCGACCTTGCTTGAGTTCTAAATACAGCCCACCATTGAACCCGATCACGTTTAAGGCTAGGGTAAGATGCATAATACACTTGAGACACTTGGTAAGATAAGACAAATGGATCATACTTGGGATACTTCTTAGTATGATTTACTTCAACAAGCTTGTATTGTTCATGAATGTTCATTCCTTTACCACAATCCATCCAACTACAACTAAACAAAATAGTCTTGTACTCTTTTTCGGGACCGGTGTAGACAAGTTCAATTATGTCGTTTAAAATGCCAAATCACTCTCCACCGTCCTCACTTGAGACACACACCCCGTAATTCATCTTAGATTTGTGTTTGCCATAGGACTGTGTGTGGAAATTAAAGCCACCGACAAATATTTGGTTCCAAGTTCGAACACGCTTGAAAGGCCTCATAGACAATGCTCGCAACACATCGGAACTTGGTTTTTGTTCTCTCACCTATAGCCGTTACGAATACAAGCGTCACACTAATTGAAATGAAATATATTATATTATATTATCACAAATTAATCGAGATGCAATGTTCGAAAGGTATTATCACCTTGTGATGAAACCAATCAGGGAATTCACTTTTGCATTTCTCCATGACATCTTCTCGACGCAAATAAGTTCGAGTACTAAGAATGTAGTCTTCAAACTGCCTAATAGATTAATGACACATGGTTAATCATTGCAGCAATTATATTAAATTTAAGGGATTTTCAAAAGTTTATCGTAAACATATATACCTTTCGTATTCACCAAGAATGTCGGTATTTCTTAAAACGAACAAATGAGCACGTTCGAGTTCCTTGTCATCTAAATACCGAGTTTTACCCAAATTTGACACACGACCCTTATCCACCGTGAACAGCTCTGGGATTTCATCGTTGTCAGCCGGGGATTCCACATCAGCATTCACATTTCGACCTAGATCTCGTGTTTTTGTGTCAACTGAGGGCTGAAAGTAATTGGAGCAGAAGTTTGATATCTCTTCAGTGAGATAAGCGTTGCATATGGAACCTTCAACACGAGCCTTATTACCAATTTTTCGTTTCAGGTGATTGAGGAACCTGTAATTATGTTTATGTAGCCGTAGAAGTATAAGTAACGGAAATCAATGAAAGAGATGAAAGTAAGAGTTGAGAAAGGACTTTGTTTTTACCTTTCAAAAGGATACATCCACCGATATTGAACAGGTCCACATAACTTGCCCTCATATGGCAAATGAATTGGTAAATGCTCTATGGAGTTGAAGAAAGATGGGGGAAAAACCTTCTCAAGCTTGCACAGGATCTCAGCTATGTTTTTTTCCAATCGCTCCATGTCGCTAACTGTAATTGTGTAGCAACATAAATCGCGAAAGAATTGGCTTATTTCTGTAATTGCATTCCATATATGGGTAGGGAGAAATTCTCTCAAAGCAGTGGGCAACAACCTCGCCATGAACACGTGACAATCATGACTTTTCATTCCATGTAACTTACCTGATTGCAAATCAACACATCGGCTCAAATTGGAAGCGTAACCATCAGAAAACCGCAGTTGTTTGACCCACTCGCACAAAACCTTTCTCTGAGCCTTGTCAAGAGCAAATGGAGCCTTTGGCATGAATTCTTTTCCTCTATCATCCTCTTGAAGATGTAGCCGGGGCCGTTTACAGTATTTAGCAATGTCATTCCGAGTTGATGGGGTGTCACAAGATTGCTTTTTCACGTCCATTATAGTGTGAATCAACTGATCAAAAAAGTTTTTTTTCAACGTGCATGACATCTAATTTGTGACGGACAAGCAGATGTTTCCAATATGGAAGGTCCCATAGAGTGCTTTTCTTGAACCACCCTTTTTTTTGCATTCTTGACACGTTTCAGTGCCTCGGGGCCATCTGTTGCTTTCGGGAGGTTTTTCACACATTCCCAAAGTTCCTCTCCTGACATGATGTGAGGTGGTGAACCTTTTTCGACTTTGTTTTTACAAAATGCATTTTTACTATTTCGAAAAGGATGATTTGTCGGAAGGAATTGACGATGGCAGTCAAACCAAGAAACCTTACCACAATTTTTGAGCCAAAATGCTTTGCTTTTCTCCATGCAATATGGACAAGCCTTCTTACCGGCTGTGGTCCAACCAGATAACATACCATAAGCCGGGAAGTCACTAACGGTCCATAGGATGGCTGCTCGAAGATTGAAATTTTGTTTTCTCGAAATATCGTAAGTATTTGCCCCAACTTCCCACAATTGTTTCAACTCGTGTATGAGCGGCTGCATGTAAACATCCAAGTTGCCCTTAGGGTTTTTAGGACCAGGAACGAGTAACGAAAGAAACATGAACTGTCTTTTCATACACATTGACGGAGGCAAGTTATAAGGGGTCAAAATGACAGGCTAGCATGAATACTGTCCCCCAAACTGACCATGTGGAGCAAATCCATCCGTACATAGGCCAAGTCGAACATTACGAGGTTCAGAGGCAAACTCAGGAAAGCAACTATCTAGGTGTTTCCACGCTTCACTATCGCTAGGGTGTGCCATTGTGCCTTGAACTCGAGGATTTTTAGCATGCCATGTCATTTCCTCAAAAATGTTTTTAGTTGCAAAAAGCCTTTGCAACCTAGGTGTGATAGGGAAATAAAATAGAACATTCAAAGGCACTAAGCTACCTTTAGAAGTCTTCTTGTATCGGTCGCTGCCACACACCCTACATGTAGATAATTGAGCATCATCTTTCCAAAACAACATACATCCTTTCAGGCATGCATGAATCTTTTCATGGGGAAGCTCTAACCCCTTAACAATTTTCTTGACCTCATAGAATGTCTCGGCCATGTGGTTGTTGTTAGGAATCTCTTCATTAACCAAAGAAGCAAATCCATCAACACATCTGTGCGGCAAATTATACTCACACTTTAGGCTAGTGATTCTAGAAGCCATCTCTAACACAGACAATGAACTCCCTTCGTACAACGGTTGTTCAGAAGCCCTTAACAAATCAAAAAATGGCTTGGCTTGTGCATTAGGCTCCTCCTCTAATGAAATAGGTGGCTCTTCGGAATGGCCTTGATCTTGAGACTGACCAAAGGCATCCAAAACCATTTCACGATATTCATTTGACTCCCTTCTACGAGTTCCTGGAAACCCTTCCCCATGACACATCCACTCGTAGTAATTAGGTAAAAAACCGCTGCGATACAAATGAAGTTTGACCGTATCTGGATCCCAGAGACGTTTGTTTTTGCATTTAAAACATGGACACCTAACTTCATTCGGGTTGCTACTCTCGGAATGATCTTCCACATATTTAAGGAATTCATCTACCCCCTTCAAGAACTCAGGATTAATAGAATTCCCAACCTTCCTTTCGTACATCCAGCTACGTTCTTTTCGTTTCATGATTACAAGTTCTACACAACTAACACATATGCCATTAATCACATTAGTCATAAAGCACAATATATATTCATTATAGACCAAACTGTTATGGAAATGCAAATGAGAAGAGAAATGATTTCCAAGGGTCCTTATCACTCCAACCTAACCCATCCTTGTACGTTCAATGTCACTAGTGAATGTATGCCAGAATTTCAATTCTATGGAAAATCCGGCAGCATCTCCCTATAGTTCCCCAAGTACACAATATAGGCGATTAGAAACACCTATATATGTACCTAGAGAACATTGTAGAGAAATGACAAGCAAGGATCTTCCTTAGAATTAAAACAAAGGAATACATTCACCACCTAAGTGAGAATAAACGTACAAGGACAGTCCCAAACGGGGACTATTCAAGACATACTCCTAATGTGTATGCCTTGAACGGGTATCTAGGCATATGATTATGCAAATGATTTTTTTAAAAAATATATATACTTAACTAACATACATATTATTAAACAAATATATCAAGATTAAACTAAACAAGAGAAACAAATCAAACCAAACCAAAGTAAACTAATATATCATATTAAACTAAACCAAACCAAACTACCGTTTTATATATTAAATTAAACTAACATATTTCTAAAAAAACTAAACTAAATTAAGATACTTTATATTAAAATAAATTAAACTACAACACATTATATTAACATAATATTAACTAAACTACATTATGTTAAACTAAACTAAACCAAACTAACATTGTTTATTTTAAAGATCAAGGGAGCAATTAATTAATTATAAGATTTATTTAAAAATATATATACTTAACTAACATACATAATATTAAACAAATATATCAAGATTAAACTAAACAAGAGAAACATATCATAACACCATACTATTAATATAAATAAAAATAATGCCTATTTTTAACCAAATAACCTAACATACATAATTAAAATAAACTAAACTAAACTAACAAAAATGTTAACATTATAAATTAACACGTATAATTAAACTTGATTTAACTAAGTTAATATTTTTATTCAAAATAAACAAAACTAATGCCTATTTTTAACCAAATAAACTAAACTAACATATTTCTATATACAATTAAATTTATATATTTCACTAACATGTCATTCATCAGCTAAACTAACAATTTTAAGTTTTATAATGTCATTAAACTCTAGATCTACCCTTTTTATTGACAATTACACCAAAAAAATCCACACTTATAACAAATAAATTTAATTGACATATAATTTAGAGTGTGTAATGTGAGATTCAATTAATTAAAGTGTTTTACAAAATAAAAAAATAAAAAAAACAAAAAAAAAAAAAACTGAAAACAACCACAAAACTTACCACCTACGCACAGTGGCCGGAGGTTGTGGTGGTGGTTGTGGTC